TCTCCCTCGTCCCTCTTTCTGACTTCTCGCTCTCTCTTCTCTCATCGCGCGACTTTCTCTCTGTCCCGCTCTTTGACTCCTCGTCTCTTCATCTCGTTCCCGTCGCGTCTGTTCCCTTCTTTTTCTCTCTTCCATCTCTTTCTTTCGGTGCCCTCTTTCCTCCCCTCCTCCTCTCTCCGTCTTTCTCTTCCTCATTCTATGACTTCTTGTTAGTCCCTCTCGCTTTATCATTGCCTCCTCTTTCTATATCTATCCGTTTATCCTTCGGCCGTTTTGCCCCTCCAGTCTCTTCCTCACTCTGCCGCCCTCTCGCTCGAGGAGGGCGCGTTGGGGCGCGCTCGCTACTTGTGTATCACTCGTGAACAACCGTCTCGACTCGAGCTCGATCTTCGACTCGAAAGAGGATCTCTCTCACTCGGGTGATCCAAGATTCTTTTTCTTTTCCTCTCTTTTTAAGTCGATTTCTTTAGCCGCGATTTTGAAGTCGGGGAACGGGATCGATCGATACGTTTTTAGAGCATCTCGCGTGTACTTAAAATTAAGGTCACGTGGATCCATTCTTGAGGGACTGAGGGGCGAGATTAATACTCTTAATCACTAAAGAATCACCGTGTTGCATCTTGTCTAGCACGAACGGCGCCGATTGTCGATCGCACGATTTAGATTCATAATCGAAAGTGTATGATTGAATCTCGTTGAGATTCAGATCGATGCATACGAGAATGCATATACGCATGGGCACGCGGGGCGGGACGTCCGGAGGCCAAAGGACTCGGAAGTTACGACATCCGGCGCATAATACCGCTTCCTGTCACTCGTGACCTTTGATCTCTGCGTCTGTCCCACGTACGCGAGAGATGCTACCTCGTTCGTATACAATAATTTCCGTGCCGACGAGCTGCCGTGGAGAATTTCGTCGAGGTCGATGCGTGGAAGACGGAAACGGAATTGCGATAGTAGGGTGAGACAGGCGTACACGCAACTTGGACAAATTTTGGACATTTAAGAACAGCTCTAAACAAGGAATTAATTATATGTAAATCTAGACGGATAGAAAACGACGGAATGACAGTTTTTGCAAAACTTCTTTAACGATTATTATTCTGTTTGAGTAACGGTTTTTGAAACAACCGAGGAGGTGATTTTATTCTCCTTGATCTCGAAAGACTCGAGGCTTTTCACGCCCGCGGCGGGGAAGACTTTCCACGCGCCGCACTGTTCCGATTTCAAAGGCGTCGACAATAGATGATTGATTCCTTTGGATTGTCACGCGCGATTCACCAGAGAAAGGCTCGGCGAAAGGACCGGGGATCCTGGGCCCCTTATTTACCGTTGCCGGTAGGGTCCA